TAAACATTCCAACTGAATAATAAGAATTTGGCCTTGTATATGCCTTAGTCTTGAGAAATATCAATTTTAGCGGAAAAAAACCGAAAAAAGCGACGCTCTTTTCTTTCCAGTCTAAAGATGCATCCACAACAAACTAATTGTAAGAGCTGATGAATGTGCCTGAATGAAAATATCTGTTTGAATTTTACATACTCGAAGGCTGTTGGCAAGGAAAACTTCTGAGAATTGAATACAAAATATTAGGTTGTTTCATAATTAATGCACGTGTTTAAATTTCAACATCAAGACAATTCTCTTCCAAAACCATCTTTTTAAGCGCAATAAAAATTACTACAAACAGCAAACCTTCGACTATATAACACATGCTTTTGTTGGATCGTAGTCGCTCTAAGAAAGGTTTTCTAGCCAGAAAAACTCTTAAACATTTTTCTAGAAACATATTCTTTGAAAGAGCTTAACTAGCTCACAAATGTACTGGGATCGCGCCAACTTTAGTCATTTGATAGATGATGGTTGATTGTGCAGTGGAGTGAAATTTGAACTTAACGGTATTTCTTTGCGAAAAAAATTTGCAAAAGAATCAAAAGTACCCACTTTTTTTCAGCATTTTGGAAACTCCAAAAAACTGTCCGTTTGGGTTTTTTATTTTTTTCCTCGAAAAGTAGGAGAAATGCTGACGTTTTCCTAGCATTAGTTGTATTAGGTCCGTTCTAGGTGACATAGTGAAATTCGTACAATCGCTTTTTGCCTGAGATTTTTATGCAGCATAGATGGGCCTCAGCGAACGACCAAGTTTGAGAGAAGATTCTCGGCTCAGAAATTCTCAAAAATCTGAAGTTGACAAGCATTCTGTAGCACCGAACTTTGCAATTGTTATGCATATTTTTGAGGAAAACATGGATTTAGAGCAGAGAGGAGTAAAATGAAAGAAACTCATGTTTCAGTCGCTTCTCTTTGAAGGCAAGGAACTCCTGTTTAGACAAAGATTGGCGAAAACGAAAGCGCACGTTAGAAACTATATAGAAGAACCGGGCTTTCAGGCACTTTATAGGATACTGAAAAAAATGGTTTTTCTTTGAGAGTCAGCTTTTCCAAAAGGAGGTTAGAAAAACGTGCATTAATTATGAGACAACCTAATATTTCGAGGGCTGCTTTGAGTAGAATAATTTTGTGAAATTCGATCAAACTTTGTGACTGTGCGCCAACTGCTTACACTATTCATAGTGATCAATTATCAATTATCAAAGTATCTGTCTTGTGGTTACGAAACTCAAAATATTATGTGATCTATGAATTATGCACTAGCTCACGTGAAATGATTTCACTGAATCGTAAAATTGGAGTATTCTCTTGCTTTAACTTTGTATTGTACTATGCATTATAGCAGCTACGTTCGCGATAAAATAGAAAGTTCGAAATAAACTTTGCTGATTTCTCTATGCCTGAGAGATTTTAAGACATAAAGGAAAAGAGGTCAAAAAATTTGATGGTTCATCAAGTTCGACTCTACCTTTTCGGTATACTCAAGTACCCAAAACATAATTATTTATTTTATTTATTCAATACGCACAAAGCGTGCCACAATTTGGACAAAGAAAAATACTCAAAATCTAAACAGTGATAAACATGTGTTAAGAATAGAAGGGGGTTGAGCTTGTTTGGACCATTTACGAATATTTCAGTACAGAAGCTCAGTGGAGTCTGTCTCATGCCCCCTGCTTGTAGCAAAAGTGCTCCTATTGTTAGATTAATACTATATACTCGCTGGAGCATCAGAATTTGGATATGCATTACATTACCACAGGTTTTCTTATAGCTTTAAAGGGGCTTTGCTGTTATTTTTATCCAAACTTTGCCATTGTGATTATAGTAGAGCACTGTGAGGAATGACGAATTTTGCAGCAAGTTGTTCATCCCGTTTTTACAGCTTAATGCGCAGAGTTCAGGACACTAATGCAGTTTAGCAAAATTAGAGGGACAAATCCGAACGAGCGGTGGACATTCAGTTCACATCAAAAACATGGCCGCAAAGTTAGGTTTGTAGCTAGAAATGTATGGCGATACTTTGCTGAATTGATTATACGTATTGAATAGCAAAAGGAATTTAGGTTTTGATCGAAAATTAAGCTAGTTCGAGATGCAAAATAGGTGTGTAGAGTAGGAGATAAGCATATACATAGATGGTACAAGCACTAAAATCTTCTGTACATTTCTCCAGAAGTGAACACAATCAATATACAGAGTGTCCCAAAAAGATGTGCACACTGTTTTAATCGTTAATAATTCTATTGCTTTCATGTCTTTTGCCGAGTTTGAGGTATCATTCTGTAGAGCGAGGTTCAACTTAGATTTATAGTATGGAGCGAGTCACCAATCGCTCTTCACTACTGTATGATTCGTTATGAACTTTCAGCACACATCGTCACTGTGGATTAGGCCTTTTGATAAAATAATTTCAAAAAAAATCTGAAAATTAGTGTAGCAAGGTTTTCAAGCGTGCCGATTTCACTGCATAACTTTCCACCGTTTGAGCTTTCTTGATGGCGTATTCACATTTTTGGCGAACATTGGAAAAACAGTTAATACCCTAAATCTGAAATGGCTTATGAAAGAAGCCCTAAGCTGAAACGCAACGTTCATATGCAAAATCAGCGACTTTTGTTAGGCAAGTGCAAGAGTTTCTGGCTTGTTTGGTTTTCGTTCCAAAGCAAAAATCCTTTCGATGGCTTGACTTCCTCCTCGAGGTTCCTACCGTAATCCTACAGTAGTGAAAAGCGACTTATAATTGGCTCCATACTGTTAATGTAAGTTGAACCTCGCTCTAAAAAATGGTACCTCAAGCTCGGCAAAGGACATGAAAGCAAGAGAGTTATATACGATCAAACAGTGTGCACATCTTTTTGGGACATCCTGTATATTTTTAGGAAAGAATTTATACGCTTTTTGGAAGTGCACAATGCAGAAAATACTTTAGTTTTCAATTTGCGGGAAAAGGTTCAAAGACTTTTCGGCTGATGCTAATAGGTCCAACTGCTCTCAAGTTCGTTTTAGTTTAGATTTGATGATTTTTTTAAAGCTGACCTGTTGATTGATATCCTTACGAAAAGCTGTAGTTTCTGATTTTAATTTTTTTCTCAGTGATTCTGCTCTAAAGTTTCCAATATGTGTTAGAAATACTACATATAATATCTAGGAAATTTATGCAGATTTAAACGGGTACTGAACATTTTTGAATGAATTTTCTAGAATTTTTGGTGCAGGGTTCTTGTTCCAAGCCAAAAAAAATTAAGCGCTCGAAAGCGTTTGTTGCTTTTGAACATCAGAACAATTCATCATAATCAGCAGCAGCTTTAGCTGCTCTTGTTGAAGTTTTGCAGGGAAGTCCTGCATGACGTGAGAAAGCCGGCACTTTTTATGCAACACATGGAAATGAGAGCCAAATCTCGTGGCGAGTCCTGACTCGATTGTCGGCACGAACGACAAGCTTTACGCTCCTTCCCAATCATAGTCGATTAGCGAATCATGAGTGAAGTCCATTTTTTTAAACTGATATTGCTCGAAGTCATCTCGCTGAGGATTTGATGATTTGAGTTTTTCGCCATATTGCGTACTAGAAATCTCACATGCGCACTTGAGGGTGTGATAGAACAGCTCAATCTTTTGACGTAAGGCGGTACAGCTCCGAATCTCCTGACGATGATTGACTCAGAGAAGTTTCTAGCATATTTCCTCAAAGCTGTCAATTGAAGTCACGCCTAATCTAGCACTCTATGATCCAGCAATGTAGGAAATTTCTTGTTGCAACTTACCTTGGATGCTAAGTTGAGTCAATAGTAATGAGAATATTTCGCTCTCCATTTCAACCTTTTCACAAATCGCTTGCATTAATGATAGAAAAGTGCTACAGGTACTTAACGTAGCTTTTCCTTCTCATTTTAGCAATCTTGTAAAAGCTTAATTGGAAACTTTAATAATGGCTGTAAAATAATTTTCATGTGATTCATAGTTGTGAAAAAAATTCCAAAATCAAACTCATCCTTTTTGCTTCACATGATAGCTAATCCATCGAATTTTTATTTCAAAGTTTCTAAAAATAAATACGTCAAGATAAAGCAGGCCGTGATTAGTGCAAATCACTTTTTAGGTTTTGAAATTTGCTTCCAAAAGCCCCAAATTTTTAACTGCGCAAAACGAAAACACTTGAAACCCTCAAAAATCTTTAGTGCTCGGAAGTTTCGACATTATCAAACTTTATTTTTGCAAATTAATCAAACTTTTATCGCTTTAAAATGCTTGAATCAAAAGTTTTGGAAGTAGCTGTCCGCGACTATAGAATTTAAACAGCAAACGCAATGGGTTCAAGACATTCGCGATTATTTCAGCAATTATGGAAAGTTTTCGTTGAAAATTATAGCTGTGGGAAAGAAAGAGAAAAACAGCTTTGGGCACTGTTTAAAGCAATTGTCGTCGATACTCTGTCTGTTGTTATGTTTCTGTGGAGGATTTTATAATTCAGTAATTGATAGATCATACATCTTTACGAGATTTGCTTGCCATGTTTTCTCTTGGAAATCAATTACCATCTCTCGCGAATATTCTGAAAACCGTACTGTTTTTCTATCGAAATTTGCTCTTTTTTTGCAAAATACTGAGCCATACACTCCCGAGCACAACACCACAGACACATGATAATTACGTATTAGCTTGCCTACCGTCTCCTAATTATAACCTTCCTCTTGTGTACCAAAAAATTCGTTTCATCTAGTTAAGTCCAAATCTGCTTGCTGAACTTAAATATGCCTCTTCTGCGGGAAGTTACGACCAAATCGCGCAATATCTGCGATTCATGCGAGAATTATGGTGTTTCATCGTCCTAACCGTAATTCGTTCTTGAGGTTCCAAGCAACTCTGGAACATTTTCGTATAACCACGTAACCACGCTATGTTTTCGCGTAGCCGTGAGCCTCAGTCAGAAACTGCCGATTAACATGGTTTATTGAGATCGTGCGCACGTGTTGAAGCGTCGAGCATCATCGTGTCAACGGACGGATCTGGACAGGCTCGAATTAGACAGGGACAAGATGCCTACTTCGTTGTTTGAGGGATCATCCACACATGAATACACGGATGGGTGAGTAAAGTTTTCATTCTGTGAAGTTGACGTAATTATTAGATTGGCCAGAAAGTTCTGTCGAAACATTTTTAAAAACTTTAACTTCTGATTTTTCCAACCGGTTTATTGCTCTTATTTTTACTTGAAAGATAAATCATTTTCCTTGTAACAATGTCTCAGCGTTAATAATGATCACACAGTATTAGGCTGGAAGGTCTTATTACCTTTTTTTTCTGAGTGAGCAAAGTTTATGCTGATTGAACGCCTTTACGAAAAGTATAATTTTCGGAAAAAAACTCCCGAAAAAGTCAAATTTGCTATTTTGTACTGCTCGTATCATAACTTTTGACATCCCAAATTTTGCTCAGCTAGACAAAGCGGGTAATGAACGTATAATATGACGGCTCCGATTTTTACTGCAAATTTCAGATTTTTATGACCAAAAGAGAAACAAAATCGAGAAATTTTTTTTTACCGCTTATATCTACGCAATGTACGATGACAGGTAAGCCACTGGGATACCATTATGAAAAGTATAATTTATTTTTTTCTCGAAGAAAATCAAAATTCGAGTCGGCAGATGAAATAGGAAGTCATAAATTTTCAAAATGGTGCGGCGGAATTTTTCAACCTAGTATGTATGAAGAAAGTTTGAGCTTCTTTAAAAACCTGTCTTTTCAACGAAATGCGAGGGCATCATGCTTGGCTTTAGTTTCTTCTGCCATACCAGGCAAGAAAATTCTATCATCGAACGTTCTTGACGCTGTCCATGCATATGGAAAGTTCATGTCATAGCTCTTGAACGTCATCCACTTTCATCGCCATCTACCTAATAATCGCCTCTTCTCATCTCCTCTCGATATCGCTCTCTGCAGATAATGAGTTCTGTTCGTTCTCATCTCGAAGTTCAGTCCTCTATTACTCGAAGCTTTGATTGATAACACGCAAAACTGCAGACTGATAGATCTCGTAGATCTCTTCGATGACACTTCATTAGTCTTCGCGAAATCGCGTCAACAATGCAAATAGTCGCACAGGTTGCTAAGTAGCCAAGCAATGTTCCTCATCTGCGTGATAACAGTCTTCGCCTTGTAATCGCTGTTCCTTTTTCTTTCTATTGCTTTTTACGTTTCCTGAGAAAACTTATCAGACAGATATAAGCAGGAAATAACGGGATCTCTGTTCAGTCAATGCCATTATTTTTCGACTTAAAAGTAATATATAACTTTCTTTGTAAATCAACAATGAAGACGTCTTGCAGAACATGTATATATATATTAGTGAGAAATAATGGCAAAGAAAGCTATAGAGCTATAGAGTTTCAGGGCTCAATTTTCAAAAGCATTATATAATCAGAAAGTTAAGCCCTGAAAAAGTCCATTCCAAAGTCCAAAATGATTATAGTTGGTTTGTTAACAAAATCTTCACTTCCCATTCAACAATGAATATTAGTTTACTAACAAAATTATCGATTGTTTACTAATCTTAGACAAAAATCACTCAGTCATAATAACAGACAATGACTGCTATTTTAATAATTCACCAATTGTGACCAACAGTTGTAAATTCCATATGAAAGTAGATGAAAGGTTCATATGAATATCAAAGCAACTATTCAATTTTTTTCAACCATGAACATATATTCTCAATTCACAGAATATGATAGTATTATACAGGTGTCCCTAAAAAATGTGTGATCGCTAATAACTCTTTTGCTTTCTTGTCTATTGCCAAGCTTAAAATACTACGTTTGTAGAGCGAGGTTCAGCTTAGGTCTGCAGTATGGAGCGAATCACCAATCACTCTTCATTACTGTAAGATTACGGTATGAACTTTCAGCATACAGCGCCAATGTGGAATAGGGCTTTTGACGAAGAAAGTCCAGAAATGTGGAAATTCGTGTAGCAAAGTTTTCGGGCGTGCTGATTCCACTGTACAACTTCTTCCCAGTTTTTCAAGCTTTTTTAGTGGTGTTATCACATTTCTGACGAACAATGAAAAACAGCTGTTACCCTAAACCTGAAATGACCTATGAAAAAAGCTCGCCGAAAGATGATCAAGAGAGTTATTGAAGATCAAACAGTGTGCACATCTTTTTGGGACACCCTGTATGTATATACTCTACAAGACGTCTTCATTCTGAAATTTGATTGTCAACTATGCTGACATGATCTTACGAAACGAATGAATGTACTTGAATCAAAAAATAACACAAGTTGGATCTCCTCGGTTATCCTTTCATACTAAGGAGCTGCGAGAAGAGCTTTAGGGTTTATAATGTTCTGGGAAGAAGCTAGTTTAGGATCCCTGATGACGTAGATCACTTTCAAGCTAAATTTCCATAACATAAAACAATTTCTTCATGTCACATTCAGCCAGACTTCGGAAACCCCTCAGTTTAACAAACGGAAAGATCGGTGACTTAGGACTTTTCAACTTTAGCTTTCTCACATTAGGCTATCAACGCTATGGTTATCTAACTCTATACATTAACTGCTCTACACTTGCGAAACCGCTAATCACCTTCCATGTAGTACATAACAATTTTACCTAAAATTTGATTACAAAGTGGATAAAACCTACATTTGTGATTCCAACTTGCATGCAAATTTGCTAGTCTGGTACGAAGAGGCTGAGTTTTTCGCATATAACAGCTCTCACGGTTTTGTTAGCTACAAACATCTGATTTGCTCTCTTTAATTATCGGTTCGAGGATAATGCCTACCTAGCACACAGTTATACTTCACCAATACGAAACTCAAGCCTGCCTTTTTCATTTATTTAAATTTGCATCATATCTAATGCGATCTTTGGAAAAACTCAATCGAATGAGCTACAGATACTATTTTTTCTCTTCACACGTTCCATATCCCCATCGCCAATCAAAATGATTATTACGCATTCACCTGTCATGTACTAGCTCCTTTAGCTTTCATGAACAACTGTTTTTTTTTCTTGTTAGAAACATGCATTTAATAGTAAATTTACCAGCTCTAGTGTCAATCACCAGTTATTCAGAATTATCAAATGAGCTACTTACTCGTGGTGCATTTTTATGCCATTCGCATCATGCCGAATGACGTTATTCTTCATGCAAATAATCGGACTGTTTTAAAATTTCTTCGTGTGTCCTTTTCATTACCTTAATGTGGGGTGTGAAGAACTGACATTTTTTGAACTGCTTTGACTAGTTATTCTGTTTTGTGAGCGATCCGAGGCTGTAATAGCGCTCCCAACTTTTGAGAAAAACGGTTTGCGATAAGTTTTTTCGTCGCGACATATTTATCGTCTCAAAAACCGTCGGAATGTTATGACTTCCTATGAAGTAGTTTTCAGAAGAAACTGAGCACATTATTGGACTTCTCAGAATCTAGCGATCTAGCATATATGCCAAAATTAGGATATGCTTTGGTCTGAATTGTTGCGACGTACTTATCTCAACAAAACCGTTTCAGGGCACTAAGTTTTCCTTAAACAAAACTACGTGGATTTAAGATTGAATTCCGGGATATTCCTTTTTGTAAACCTTGCATTTCGGCTATACACAGATCACAGGTGACGGGTAGAAATTGCAGTCTAATAATTACAAATCGGTAGTCTTTATTATCTGAGATCTCTCCAGGAGACAGCAAGTCAAAATAAGATTGTGCTTTGTTGCTGTGAAAGAGAGCATAACGCATCTCGATCTTCTGGTAGGATCTCCTCTCTTCCTTATTCTCTCATTTCTTTCTATATCTATAAATCGATTCATAAGTGAAGTGTACCTCAGTAGCAAGTTTTCGTACCTTTGATTATCTCCACCCATGTTTCTGCATATACATTTTTTCCGCTTCTTGGCGCTGGAATTGTGGCCGGTTAACAATAGGCATAAAAACAAGTCAAGCAATATGGGTAGAAAAAGTTAGACAGAAAAAATTGTGTTCTGCTTTCGACTTTGAATTCTTCCGTAACGAGTTCATATATTTCGATAGAGGGTCTGAGAATATCAGCGTTGCTAGGCGAAGTGCTCAGAATTGTTTGCAGATGATTTGCTGAGTTGACTAAGGGTCGATCGCTTTGCTTGCGAAAAAGGAATTCTCCTAATCCACTTCAAAAGAGGATAGATTTCGGCTCTACAATTGACTAAAACTGCTTTTCAACCAAATTTGGCCATCTCTGTTCAGGTCTTGAGCTGCACAAGCATTCTCATAACATTTTAGGAAATCAAGTCGTTGCAAGTTCCTTGGTGAGATTCCATTCTACGTCTTGCATCCTGCACATATGCTAAATTTGCAAAAAATAAGAGAAAAAAGGTATCGCTGATTGAATGCTCAAACGCGGCGGACCCGCGCTGCGCGGCTAAAATGTTGAGAGAGCACGATTTATACGTACTACAATGGCGGATTTGTTCTGGGGCAAGCGTTCTACATCGCGGCACGTGCTCCGTAGTGATGTCCAGTCGTGCGGTCAACGAATGAACTATAAAACAAGGCAGTAAACATCCACGAAGGAAACTTTTTTGATTTTTTTGCAATTTTTTAATTTTCAGAGATATAACTATATACAGAAGTTGTTTCCAAGCACAGCTTCGTCAAAAAAAATTTTTTCATGGATATTAGTCAAATATTCGAGCTTCACAAGGTTAGGTTGAATTCGTACGACTTGCATTGCTGCCTGCCGAAGCTGTCTGGATATGTTTACGCTTTTGCAACACACATAATTGCTGCTCTGTAAGCGAAAGGCATACGGTAACTGTCGCAGCTGAAATTAATGGTTAATTAATTTTCTGTCATAATTTCACTTACTGCAGCAAAGATAAGTATATCTGAAATAGTACTTATATAAATTACTGCATGACAACATTTTCCAAAGATAATAAGCGTACTTTAGTACTTTACTGTTGTAGCTAATCTTGGGGATAAATTTAAGTGTGATAAATGCATCTGTGTGGCAGGTAAATATTGCCGTTGATAGAAATGTGCATTGCACGTCGTTGGTTCAATGGAAAACTAAGAAGAAAGAGTGATTCTCAATCAATA